ATACTGACTGACAGAATGCTTCACGGTGGTAAATGAGGTCTTGTCTCAACATTTTTGACGTGTGTTGCTGCCAGATAAATGACCCTATTATTAAAAAGGAAAAAGTACAATTTCTACATTTCAACATTTGATGTGTTTATTATGTTACATTGTGAATAAAACATGGATTTATGAGCTTTGCAATCGTTGCATTTGGTTGTATTTGACATTTTTACAGCATCATTTTTAATTTTTTTTTTTAGATTGGGGTTGTAAAATTTGAACAAGCAAATCTAATTATTTTGGAGTTAGAATATTTTATTGGATGAACAAAATGTACAAGAGCCAAATTTAGCCTATCAAAGGGGTAAAACTCAAAACAACATAATTGTTTGGAACCTTATTTCTGACTTTAATTAAATATAAAATATACATATTTTACATTTTTTGTAAGCAATAATAAAAGTATAAAAAGTATCACCAACAGGATTTTTTTATATAATTTTTTGACAAAAATCAGAACAACATCAACATATAATGTATCCTCTTTATATATCTGGACATTTCTTTTAATTTTATGGAGACATAAACATAGATATTCCTCTTATTTAAACAATTTATTTGGTTTAGCTGATCTTTCATAGATGTTATGTGTCTTTGTTACTTTTTTGCATTAACTTTAAATTTTCATTCGATGTTATTTTACTTCTGCCGATGCAACAATGTGAATATTCCTAAGGAATGAATGAAGGTTTATCCCATTATCTTCTACAAGCTTGATAAAAATATATTTTTCCTTATTTGCTTCCTCTTTAAAGTTAAACTTGAATAAAATATGCTGTTCTCATTCCTCATTTTTAGATCAATTATCAAGGTAATACAATTCTGATTTAAAGGGAGTTTTATGTAAGCTTTTCCTGATTTGAAAGTTATCTCAATGAAACATTTTCAATTTCCCAGCCTGACCACTTGTTGCTGCAGTATTTTGTAATTCAGATTTTGGTTATAAATCAGTTTAATCCACCCTCACACACACGTACAACTGTTCTGAGTCTTGATGCATATTTTGTAGCAGGGTGCGCAGCGGCCCTATGAACTGTCTGCTGCCCCCACCTGCTGGTGAGAAAGTCGTCATGTTTTGTTAGCCACCAAGCTAAAGCTGATCTCAGTCCGTGTGTTTGCCTTCATCTAATGTGTGTCCTTGTGTGTGTGTTTTACACAAAGACACGTTCAATCACTTCCACCCACTTGGTTTCTCTCTCCAGTTCACAGTTATCTTTCTCCCACACCTACAGTATCTCCTGCAGCCCGAGAATAAAGGGAGCAGAACAGCAGAGGAGCACTGCGCCAGCGGCCGCTGGCCTGATGAACTCCACATGCTGACAAGCACAAATAATCAGCTGCCCTTTATGAAACCCGCATGTTGAGTAATAACAGCTCGCTGGCTGGTGTTGTTTATATCACACCGTTGCTCTCGGAAGCCGCATGAGGGGAGCGTCTGTGACCCTAAGAGCTGTTGGGCCTGTACTGTCTAATTCCACGTTTATGGTTTTGCCTTTTATAACACACACAGATGAAACTGTCCAGGCCACAAGCACATGGAAACATCATCATGCTGCTAATTGGTGCCTTTTGGGACCATCACTTAGAAGGATTCAGCGACATGCAGCAGCTTCAGCTGATCTGTCAGCTTTAAAATGTATAGAACAAATAATAAGTGAAATAATAAGAAAAAAACTGATCAAAATAATGACTTATAATCCTTACACACACACACACACACACACACACACACA